AAACCAAACATGAGAAGATAAGTCCAAAATCTACTTGTTTTCCAGGAAAACATTTTCCATGAAAAACATTTTCCTCCATACCAAACACACCCTAAGAGTTTCATGCTTTTACATGGTTCAAGAGTTTAAGGGTATTTTCAAATTTTTCTCGAGTTTTAATTGTATAATTGGGGAGAAAAAGAGAGTTCGAAGGTGTTTTCAATATTTTTCTCGAGTTTATACAATTTGAGTAAAATTCACACCTAAATTCTTGCCATGTTTAAGAATGTTATCAACATTACTCTCAGTTTTTCATTAAGAGTTTCATGTTTTTACATGGTTCAAGAATTCATGGGTGTTTTCAAATTTTTCTCGAGTTTTAATTGTATAATTGGGGAGAGAAAGAGAGTTCGAGGATGTTTTTAATATTTTTCTCGAGTTTTATTTGTATAATAATTGGGGAAAAGATTATAAAAAGAATGGGGTGAGAGAGGCTCGAACTCTCGACCTCAGGATTACTCAGAAGCTATGAGACCTACGCGCTAGCCAACTGCGCCACCACCCCAAGATGTTGTTTACCTTCTCCAAAGATTATGTATAACTAAATTCTGTAACATGACAAAAGCAATATTTAATTGAATTTTGATGTATACTACCTTGGACTAGTAGCTATTATTTCTGTTATTTATTCTTGCCTTAATTAATTTAAACTGAGTCCTCATCCTAGAAGGTACAAAACGGAAGGTAGTAAATGCACAATCACAATTAATAAAATAGGTCGAGAATCATAAGGTTTTGATCAGCTCTAATCGCAGTTAAAGTTAGAAACACTAATGCTTTCTTCCCTAACTTACTTGAAACTTAAAGTTTTTTTCTTTTTTGGTCTATTTGGATTCAGGACTCATTCTATTAAGTGTATGTTTTTCCTTCTATCTTCTTGGTCTAAAAGTAGAAGAATGGGTACCATCTACTTCTTTACAATATATTCTATCCATAATTGTTTATGATATGCTTTAATTGAGTCGAGCGTCTATTGAAAACAGTTTTTCTATCTTCACGAGGTAGGAGCAAGATTGTGTACGCACTAGCATCCTCACATCCCACTTGTAAAATTACAGTGAATATGTTCTTTCATATTTACAAGATCAATATGGAGAGTAATCTAGGGAACTAATTTGTGCATTACATGTTTTGATCTACATTGTCACCCTCTTTACATATATATTAAGATTGAATATTTGTGTGTCAAACTTTGAGGTATTTATAGTCGTCAAGAATAAAAACTACTAAACAGTAAAGTGGAAAATTAGTTTTATATAAGACTTCTAAAATGACAAGTCATTTTAAACAAATATAATCAAGAAAACAAGTATTTCAAAACGAAAGAGTACAAAATTTAATATATATTGGTATCGCAGTCTACCTATGTTACAAAGAATGAACAATTTGTTTACGAAAAACCCAAATTTATACAAAGAAATATATATATAAATCTGTACCCGGGTTTAAACCAAATGACCAAATACTAGTAGTATAATAATTCACAATAATGAAAAATGATGTTGGTAAAATTGAAAAAAAAAAATCTCAGAAAAAATTACGGATTTGCCCTTGTGACAATATATTTCTCCATGATCAACCCTCATTCATCTGCCTGCATAGTTCCTCAAAACTCCAATCTCTTCTCATCCCGGAGCATCGTTGCAGCCTCGGCGTGACACTGGGAAACTCCATCGGACCACCATAGCTGTTATGAAGGCGGTGAGCACCTTTGTTCGACGTTCGAGTCATCACATTCTCATAGTCAGAGTTAGGTGCCATGTTCCCTGACCAACTCCTATCAACTCTTCCCAAACATGAGCTAAAATTAGACATGTCTTGACTATTGTTGTCAACATTGTTTGAATCCATCCTCCTCAAAACTTGACATGTCAAGCAATTCAAATTCATTTTGACTCTAAATTAAATCAAAGAGATAGAGGTTTGTGGAATTGGTTTAGGAAAAAAAATGTAGTGATACGAAAGAGAATTGATAGTCCAAGTCTTGGCTGATAGAGTTTCTCGTTATCTGTGCTAGTGGCATGCAAAATGTACCCTTGAAATTAGTTGAGATATGTGTAAGCTGGTTGAAGTTTTGTGCATGAATGCACTCAATGATATTAATTGCAAAAGAAAATGAGGGATTAAATTTATATGTTATGGAGAGGGTGAGTATTTGAGGTAGGTTCAATTTCTTTATTCTTCTTATTTTCCCTATCTCCTCACATTTCTTCCCTTGTCCCTTACTTCCCCATTTTAAAGGAGAAGTTTAAGGGCATGTGTTAATAATATCCATTAAATATTGGTCTTTGAGGTTTGATCCCTAAATTAAAGCTCAATGTCAATTTTTAGTTAGTGGCTACTATTGATTTCTTAGCTTTGACTCTAAACTTTAAAGGAGATTAACTTTGTAAACACATGAATCATGGTAATGATTTTGTAGGTTGTCAATTACTTCCTAAATTTAGCTTACTAAAAGACCAATTCTTTTAGGGAATTAGAGCTAATTACATTATATTCTTATTATTTTTACATTACAAAAATATCTTATATTTATTGGTGTCCGATACATCCCAAAATGTCCCAATACATCTCGTTTCGATTTGAATACATCTCTCAATATCTCGATACATCGCATCTCGATTTCCTATACATCACTCAATGTCCCTATCGCGTATGACCCGGATACATCACGTAAAGTAATGTATCCAAGAATAAGAGAGAATAGAGACTTTTGTAATGTTTTCAAATGATAGAAAATTTTAAAGAATATGATAAATAAATTGTGTATTGAGTTAATTTTTTCATGTTTTAAATTATTTTTCTCAACTAATTGAGCCATCAAAAGGGCTGGCCCAACCATCTGTTGTGGGCTACAGAATTTGATGGGCTAAAATAGACCAATTCATTTAACGGAAAATTGTATATAATAGCAAATTAATAACCTAAATTAAATAGAATAGCTAGGGTTTGATTTAATTGTGCTCCATAGTAAACATTAGCTAAAATTTGCCAGCATCTCTCTCCCAAAAATCTCTCTCGCCACTCTCCATTCTCGCTCGCCTCTCTCGCTTTATACACAGAAGTGTATAATTTTGTTTCTGTTTTGTATAAAACGAGAGAAAATTGTATATACACATGCAAAAATGTATATCTTCGTGTTATACACATAATTATACAATTTACAAACATTTTACTTCAAATATTGCAGAGAAAAAGGCCAACGAATTATACAATTGCAGTGAAATACAATTTTCTCTAGTTTTATACAACAGAAGTGTATATATTGTGTTTCTGTTTTTGTATAAAGCGAGAAAACCATATATCTTCTTGCTATACACTTATAATTATGCAATATACATACATTTTAATTTGATTCAACTGTATGCAAAACAAATTATACAATTGCAGCGAAATAGGCCAGCGAATTATACAATTGTATATGTATAGCAAATTATACAGTTTTATGTTTCTATGGAGCGCAATAATGCAAAGTTTGCTATAGCATACAAATATGAATTTTTTGTTGCTATATGTGAAAGTTGCACTTCATTTAAATGGTCCTTTTTAAGAGGGAGGAGAAGTGATAGTGTTCTTTTTTTACGTATTGGCTAAATTTTATCTAATTTATATATCTTGATTAAAATTTAAATAGAGGTCCATCTAGATTAGAAAATACGGAAAATTATGTTTAATTTAATATATACTAGTTAATTGGTTATCACTGTTATAATTTTAGTTAATTACTATTTGTGATCTACATTCAATGATAATATGTGGGTTGTTGGTTTGAGTTTGTATAATTTGCATGTTTATATAATATAATTTGTATAATTGTTTAACTTTCAAATATTTGTGTTTGTATAAATTCGTTATTTCGAGTTTATACAATAATAGCTCAATTATACAAATGTACCCGTGAATTATACACAAATCAAACAACTTAAATTGTAGCTACGACATGTAGGTCCTAATTACTAGGATTCATGATAGTTTCGAATATTACTTCTTATACCATATTTCGTCTTTTAGATGTATGTATCATTTCTCATCAGATACATTATCAAATGGTTCTAAAAATCGAGGTACATGTTTTCTTTGTTTGAATTAAATGGTTATAACTAATTTCACTAATTAAACGAGTAATTGAAGATTTTCATAATACATGGACAATTAATTTTGGAAACTCAAATTAATCAAATTCCTTAATATAAGTCGGAAATCAAAGAGTGTTATTTTGTTCATTTAATTTCATTTAATACTTTTGAAATAGTAAATTCATTAATAAAAGATAAAAATATGTATATCTTGGTTATGTAATTTGATTAATTTTGTTTTATTACTCTTTAAATAATAAAAATTAATTTGAAGTATCTATCAGTATGATGTATCAAACAAACTAAACACTTAGATACATGAGTGGACAGTGTCTAGTATTAATTTCATGTATCTATTTATACAATCTATTATTAATTTTATGTATCTATTTATATGTATCTTGTAATTTATAATTTGATGTATCAAGTATCAATTTCATACGTTACATCCAAAAACATGGATCTCGGCGTTCGCAACAAATATGAAGGGACATAAAATAAATTGTGATCATAATAAAATAAGTAGAAACATGACTTTATTGAACAAGATAGCGGTTACAATTCTATTGATCCGTTGATTCTACTCTTCTAATATTTATCCATGATTCGAGGGTCGTTAGTAGCGTATTTCTCGAACTAGGATGATTTAGATATGATCTATATATGAATATTCCATGACTTTTGTGAAATATTCGAGATCTTGATCTCTTTATGGAATTTTAGAGATGTCTTTTAAGAAAATTTAATACCCTTTATATAGGCACAAAATAGGGTTTAGGGTTGAGTAGTCTCCATGAATCCTAATTTGAGTTGAACAACTTGTCGAGCCCCAACTCGAATTAAATGCATCTTGTAGAGTCCCACAAAATTTCAATGTCTACACTCGGATACATGATAGGCAAATACATCTAATTATGAAATGTAATTAAAACGCATAACTTATTATGTGTATCTAAATATGAAATGTAACTAAAACGAATGAAGTTAAGAACAAATCACGACGATAAAATATGATAGTAACTTTTAAAATATATGATATAAAATATCAAAAGTAGTAATATATGCACTTATTTAAAAGTAAAGATAAAATTAGTGTATATGATAACGGTATATGTCTGATTAAATAGTGTTTCCTCTATTATTATGACTATTTGCGAAAATTCCCAATTAAAATACTTGTTTTGAAAGCTCTAAATTTTATGGTTTCACCAAAGACAAATATCTGTTTGTTCTTATTTATTTATTTAAGTCCATTTTTAGTAATTTTTTAATTATAATTTTTATAGAATATATTTAAGATTGTGCGATTAAAATATATTTTAATATTTTATCTAGTTTTAATCTAAAATCATAAAATTCATTCTTTTTTACTTTTTTTAAATTTTGTATCAAGTAAAAAAAAAAGATAAATAAGTTAAATCCGAGAAAATAATATTAGTAGAAAAACAAAACAAACGAGATATTTGCATGATGAAATAGTTAGTGTTTCCAAAAACTGAAAATGACAATACCCAAATACCGCAGCCAGACCACCTACCCCTTACTCTGAACAATAATGAACACACAAATTTGGCTTATTCACAAACTTGATGGACCAAACTTTTATTTTTCTATTTTGCTTTGGTTCATATAATAAAAAAAATCACAGCAAATAAATAGGTGGGTCATATAATATAAAGACTTAGAATTAATTATTTAACCAATTACACATGATAAACATGATTTATTTTTTTTGTCTGCAAGTCCACTTCCACCAAATTTGCGTCACGTCACAATTCTTTGTTTTCTAGTCTATGAAAAGAAAAGTGTATTAAAATATAAATATTATAATATATAGTGTAGTAGATGATTTTTTTATTTACATTAAATGTGTCCCTACACTTTTGTTCAATAATTAGCAGTTGAAGCTAAGCCGGATCTACCGTTAGGGTGTCGGGTTCATACTAATAAAATAGTAAAAATTATTGAATTTAATCGAATTAATACATTGACTTCTAGCATCGAGAACATTGGTGAAGCTCGTACCTCCTTTTTTGTAAAAAAATATTGTGTATATTATTATTTTTTATGAAATAAAAATCTTATTTACGTTCTTACGAAAAAGAGAACGGCCTAATTGGTTGGAGTAGAAGTTAGAATGAATGTGTTCAAATGAAGTGTATTTGAAAAGTTGCTATCAGTTACGACCTAAAGCATGATATGGTAATACTATTATGGAAATAATTTTAGTTTTAGTCTGTAATAAACTATAGGGTTTAGACCAAAAAAAGAACCAAGTTCAATGTATTCTCCATATGAAAAAATGCAACACATGACTTCTTATGATTTTTTATTTTTTTTAATTTGTCTAAATATGTGGATATATACAATTCATATTCATCATTTTGATATAAATATAAACAAGCATGCAGCCAAACGAATAAATATGATTAATTCCATCTAGTTTCCTTTATTATTTTTTGATGATGCATCTACTCTAACTTGGTCTACAAGACTAATTTCATCTAATCTTATCATTCTTTTAAGAAATTCTTTTTTCCTATTTTATTGTTGGTTTTTTTCGGGTTTAATTTGTTAAACAAACTCAAATAAGAAAGATTACAGTTTTTCTAAGGTATATTTGTTTGTATATATAACGAAATCCAAATATTCTCATGAAATAATCCTTTATTTTTCTGAGTCAAAATTTAATGAAATGAAGGTCGTAAGCAATGACATCTCGTACGTATATTTTAAAATTTAATTTGAACATGAAGTTTGAATTGAAAAAATAATGCATAGTGCTTGTCAAATGATCTCTTTTCACATTTTTCT